TAGAAACTAGTGTGTGTGTGTGTATACTTGTATAACTTAGGACACTAGATAGAAACTGTGCTTATTAATTGATTAATTGACTTACAAACAGCTGTTGTGTATTGACAGAAAATTAGTGTTCAGAGGAGTTTGTAGTCCACCCAATACAAAGAAAAATTAGAGGGAACATTGGTGGAAACTAACCCGCTGTCTTCATTTATAGTCTTTCCAAGTGTCAGCTGTCTCTCCTTCAGTCATCTAGTCTTTTCTGTTGTTAACCAGTCTTTAATTTCTGGTTTTCACCAGTGTCGATCAACACAGGAACTTCAGAAATAAACTTCAATCAAACAATTGTTTTCACCCTCTAAAGGTTAACCTTTGACACTTGATGGGGGCAGGCTACACCATGGTTAGGTTTTATCATGTAATAATACATGTAAAAAGTACATACATATATGTGATAGCTGAGAGCTTTAGTACGATGTGTCATTGAAAAATTGATAAGTACGTAAGTAAACTCTTGTAATGTACATGAGTAATATCTTGGTACTTACTAATAGTATAAATAAACTCTTGTTATGAACATGAGTAGTCTTTTGGTACTTGCTATTAGTATAAGTAAACTCTTGTTATGAACATGAGTAGTCTCTTGGTACTTGCTATTAGTATAAATAAACTCTTGTTATGAACATGAGTAATATCTTGGTACTTGCTATTAGTATAAATAAACTCTTGTTATGTACATGAGTAGTCTCTTGGTACTTGCTATTAGTATAAATAAACTCTTGTTATGTACATGAGCAATATCTTGGTACTTGCTATTAGTATAAATAAACCACTTTATAACACACCTATAATGCTCTAAGTTCACATTATAACACATCTATAATGTTCTATGGTCACTATAACACATATTTTATTACCTTCCATACAAAGAGTTGTCGTTCAGTACGTAAAGAAGATGTTGGTACACAACCTGTAAAGAAAATATTAATAAGGACAATTATCCACAATAAACATTGAGTACAACTTATGAAAACTTATTATTTGTAGTACTAGTGCAAGTAACAGTTTCTTCTATTACAGACTCAATGCTAAGTATATCATGTATATAGATTTTAAACGAGTAATGAGAGTAAAAGAGTTATTTTCATTCATTTTAATTCTTAATTTTGTTTCAACCAATCCTTTACTGCAATAAAATGCTAATCAGAGTAAATGGATAAAAAACAAATTGGTCTGTTAACAATACAGGGCTCGACAAGCCAGTACCGTCGAATCCATCTGCCTGTTCTTGAAAATAGTATTTATAAATTGACTTACAGGTTCCATGTACTGCTCAAAAAGTGGGAAATCTTTAATATTCATGTCAAGAATATAGTAGACAGCCCATTTCACCACAAACTTATTTTCATGAAAGAACATTCTCTTGAGTGTTAGAAGTACCCACGATGTATGGAGTAGAGGTAAAGCACCATGTTCTCGTAAGGAGTCTGGAAGAAAGAAAAAATTATAAATTAAAAGAGCCAAAAAAATATTTAAATCTAATATCATTCATATCACTTTACAAAATTAAAATATAGTTATTACTTTCTGGAAAAATTAACAGGAGGATCTGGAGCCTTCTCTTCGATCCAAGATTGTTTATATAACATTAAAGAATACAGTTATACCATCATAAGTGAGAAACGTAACACAATCTAAAAAAATTGTAAATTTAAACTTCATTTAACACATAAGTAGCTAGAGAATTGATAGCGAGTGATGCCACATTGTTGCTTTCCTTCTAGCCAGCAGTTCAAAATTAGTGGAAGAGGCAGATAGCTTTAGTAGTTTAGTGGTAATGGGAATCAAATATGAGACTCTCAAATTACAAGGCATCCCCTGCCCCATCCATAATATAGCTTTTTTGCTTAACAAACAACAAACATAAGGGAAACATATGGATTACTTAGATAGTTAGAATAAACAGAATCCCTAATTTTGATTACTTAATTATTTTCGTGGCAATTAATTTCATCAAAATTTTGATTAGTTGGAATAATCAAAAACAGTAATACCTGGAAACACTAATTCGATTAATTGATTATTTCATTAGACACTTATAAATGTAATCACTTCTTATAAATAATCGATTAAATCACCCAGCTACATTAAAGTGTGGTAAAAAATCACTAAACAGAAAAAATGCTGACAATTCCTCTCTTACAACTAGTTTCATTATTGCTTACACAGAGATAAGAGCTAATATAAAATACACAGTGATGATATTGACTTTTATACTTTCATTACATCAGTAAGAGAACTTGCAAAATTTAACAACACATCTGACTGTCACTCAATATATTTGCTGAAGCCTTTAATACTAAGTAAGTTTCTTAGTTTTGAAACATAATAGTCTCAATCAAAATAAATAAATCCTCCAAGTGTTGATCAGCTGTTGGCATATATTTCTTATTTATGGCATACTTTTATTATATGCAATTAGACTGAATAATAAGCTACATAAAACTCAAGTTAAAAAGAACTTACCAGTAAATACTGAAGCTCCTACTAAGCAGTCTAGTTTATAAAGAACAGGTTTAATGACATGAACCTAAAATAAATCAAAGAAAAAAATAGAATTCGTCAAAAGGTCTTAAAAATTTTGAAAACAGATTTCAGACATCTTTAATGCCAAAGCAAAATAAAAATCATGAGTCACATACTAATAGCAAGTACCAAGATATTACTCATGTACATAACAAGAGTTTATTTATACTAATAGCAAGTACCAAGATATTACTCATGTACATAACAAGAGTTTATTTATACTAATAGCAAGTACCAAGATATTACTCATGGACATAACAAGAGTTTATTTATACTAATAGCAAGTACCATGATATTGCTCATGTACATAACATAACTATAATGCTCTATAAACACTTTATAACACCTATAATGCTCTATAAAAACTTTATAACACACCTATAATGATCTATAAACACTTTATAACACACCTATAATGATCTATAAATTGTGTTATAAAGTGACTATAGTACATTATATGTATGTTATAAAGTGACCATATAACATTATAGATATGTTATAAAGTGACCATATAACATTATAGATGTGTTATAAAGGGACTATAGAACATCATAGATGTGTTATAAAGTGACCATATAACATTATAGATGTGTTATAAAGTGACTATAGAACATCATAGATGTGTTATAAAGTGACCATATAACATTATAGATGTGGTATAGAGTGACCAAAGAACATTATAGTTGTTTTATAAAGTGACCATAAAACATTATAAATGTGTTATAAAATGACTAAAGTATTACAGATGCATTATAATGTGAACATAGAGCATTATAGTTGGTATAAAGTGTTTATAGAGCATTATAGGTGTGTTATAAAATTTTTATAGAACATTATAGTTGGTATAAAGTGTTTATAGCACATTATAGGTGTGTTATAAAGTGACTATAGTGCATCATAGATGTTATAAAGTGTTTATAGAGCATTATAGTTGGTATGAAGTGTTTATAGAGCATTATAAGGGTCCCACAATACCATTACTGATATGTGACTAATGCTTTCCACAATCCATCTAGTGAACATGGACAATAGCTTGCCAGTGACCATTTCAAAAGTCCAATCACACAATAATCCACAGGTTCTGTATCCAGCAAATTGACTGATGGGTCATCATAGAGAATAGCAAGTATATTCATTTTATACTCCAGCTGCTGGAGGTATACTATGGTTGAACAAGAGATATAGATGGAAGCCTTATCTTGGTGAACCCATACCCAGTTGGCCTCATTCTTAGATGGAAATCCTTCTTGACTATGTTGCATAGCATGTTTTTGCCTGGGACACAACAATGGCTTTTTCCACTAACTTTTGTGTTTGTGGGTTCTTTCCTGTTATAAGACCCTACACTTCACTCACTACAGCTGAGGTATTACTTGTTGCAGGTCTCTTTCTTGATGGTCTTAGTACCCCAAGTTGATCCATATTTCTATATTTTCCAGTGCCATTATATATACAAAGAATATTCCATCTTGGAAATTCTAAATCCCTGGTTTGAACATACCTTTATGATCTGAGTGAATACTTATTTTGTGTCAGAAAGGACTATTACTCTTTCCAAAAGAGAGAAATTAACGCAATAGCAAAAACATTATCTTTTGAATTAACTGCCTGATGATTTCTCTTTCATGTTTTAAACAATTGGCCATGTTTAAACAAAAGATATTAGATTTTTCATGTAGACCATTTTCTAACAACCACATTAAAGCATTGCTATTGCTGATAGGAACTCCAACCAAATTGTGCATTTCTGTTTTTATTTCTAGGAATATTTTGAAGTGATATGATGTTTAAAATTCTTTGAATGACACTATCCTACCATCTGAATATTTCCTTCTGTTATTAGACTCCCAGTTGTAGTAAACACATGGACGGTCTTTGAAATATTAAACTTTTTTGAGATATTTACTGTGCATTTTCTTCTCATTATGTAAAGCAGAAACTTGTAAAGTCTTTAGACTACATGGCACTTTACTGGTGAATCAATTAAACTAAACTGAAACAAGGATGTTAGTAATGTTTGTAATGTTGACTGAAGAATATGTAAAAATGATTTTATCCAAAAATATGTCTAAACAGAATAATGAATGTTTGTGATTTAAAATGAACGTTTCTTTATAAAAACAGTATCAATGGGCCACTGCCACCCAATCCATAGTTGATGATACCTAATAGTTTTCAACTGAAATTAATAAATGTTTAATTACAACTAAAGAGAATTTTCAATAGCCGCGGCACTTGAAATTCTTTTAGACAGGATTAAAGTAAATCAATTTACGAGTCATTATTTTTTTTATAGCTATATCAAGCTTCAGACACGCCTATACCCGATTCGATTTTATTACACATCAGGATCTCTACCAGCTGAAGTTTAAATTCTTTTGAGCAGGATTAGAATTAACCTATGAGACCTTGGGCACGGTGAAATACATCGGTTGAAAGGGTTTGACCTCATGAATCCAAAACTGTAGCTAGATCTCGAATCGGTCAAGAGATAACAGAGCTATGAAAAAAAAAAACTCAGAGCCACTATGACGTGACTAAAAATATGTGGTTGTAATTGAGAAACCCACTGTTAATGTTATATCAACAGTGGTCTTTATTCTTGCAGGCTTTATTGTTTTATAGGAAAACCAGCATGATTATTTTGGACTCAAAATTTATGAAAGGAAATATATGTGTTTGTGTTTACCCTTGTCAATTGTTTTCTAATTTAAGCACTTTTTCGAAGAACTAGGATCTAAAAAAAACAGCTTTATTTTTTAATATATGTGGTAATAAAGGTTTATTTTTATTGTGTAATAGCACAGACTTTCCTAATTCATATTACTATAAATGCTAATTCCTAATTCATATTACTATAAATTTTCTGTATAATCTTGCTATTATTAAGTGGACCCATATAATACTTGCAAGGAAATCAGTTTATCTAAGATTACCACAGTATTTTAGAATAGACTTTCAAAACACATACCTTAAATTATCCAATCCAGCTCCATCCAAAGCATTCATTCTAGGCACGGTAGAGATAGCCTGCATAACATTGAAAAGAGCTATTCCACTCCAGGATTGCTTGGAAAGCCACGTAATTATACCACTAAAAAATACTACCAAATACAAGTAAAAAAATGGGGGGGACATTATCCTTTACAAAATGGTTTATCTCATGTATAGAATGAGACGAAAATAAAAACTGTTATCTTAACATTATTCTAAACAAAATCAATAACTGATTAAAGAACAGTTCAAATTTTATCTTAAAACAGTTTCTTAGTGTGACATCAAGATCTTGAATTGAGGCTCAAACTTTAGACATATTCTACTTCTCAATAATTTTACCTTACTTGTTGTAATAAATTCTATTTTGTTGGACAAATTGCATTTTCTTGCACTATTATTCAGTGATTATGGTGTTTAATTTAGTGCTAAGCTTACTTACAAACATTTATTCAGTGATTCTGGTATTTGTTTTACAGTGCTATGCCTACTTACAAATATCTATCCAATAATTCTGGTTCTTGCTTTACAGTGCTAAGCCTACTTACAAATATCTATCCAATAATTCTGGTTCTTGATTTACAGTGCTAAGCCTACTTACAAATATCTATTCAGTAATTCTGGTTCTTGCTTTACAGTGCTAAGCCTACTTACAAATATCTATTCAGTAATTCTGGTTCTTGCTTTACAGTGCTAAGCCTACTTACAGATATCTATTCAGTAATTCTGGTTCTTGCTTTACAGTGCTAAGCCTACTTGAAAACATCTATTCAGTGAATTGATAAACTATCATTTAATAAATAATTCATAGATTCTCTTATTAGTGATGTATTTAGCCTTTCACTATTCAATACTTCTTTACCAAGGAATTTTATCACTATCTTTGAAAGTTGTTCATTTTGGTAAGATAAGGACTACTATCACAAATTATAAGAATTACTGTTTCATATAACATATCTTTTTTATAGAAGGTAGGTCATATTCAATACATTCCTTCATTTTTTGTTATACGTTAATCTTTAAACTAATATTTATTTTAATATAATATGAAAAATTATACTAATTATCATGATATAGCAATAAATGTTTAAAAATCTAGTGCACTTATTTACTGAAACATACCTATCCTTTGAGAATGTGAAAGACAGTGATAACAGTTCATGAAGAAGGTGCCACATAAACTATTGATGCAAAGGTTTTTTCCTGATATATCATTCTCTGATCTGTCAATATAAATAAATTGTAAGAGCAAATGATAAGTCGATTTAAGTATCTTATAAAGCTCTCAAAAACATAAATTTTATTCAAGTTAGATGGTCAAAATGTTCTTCAACATATCTATAGTCATTTTATAACACATCTGTGGTGCACTATAGTCACTTTATAACACACCTATAATGCTCTATAAACACTTCATACCTACTATAATGCTCTATAAACACTTTATAACATCTATGATGCACTATAGTCACTTTATAACACAATACGTGACTAATGGTCCCACAACACCATTACTGATATGTGACTAATGACTAATGGTCCCACAACACCATTACTGAATAGTTCATGGTAGAGGCCATTAGAAATAGTTCATGGTAGAAGTCATTAGCAACAGTTCATGGTAGAGGTCATTAGCAACAGTTCATGGTAGAGGACATTAGCACCAGTTCATGGTAGAGGACATTAGCAACAGTTCATGGTAGAGGTCATTAGCAACAGTTCATGGTAGAGGACACAGGGATACTGATAAAAACTAGAGGTATGCAGTTTTTAGAACTTTCAGAAGTTAAGTTCTAAGAGTTACGAAGATGAAATATGCAAACTGCGTGACAGATTATTCATATGAAAGTCATCTTGCACTCAGACTTGTCAGAGTTTGAGTCAGACTGATCTTGTCAATTCACAGACATATCTTGAGTACAAATATTTTACTAACACATCTGATTTTTTGGGTACAACATTAATTCTCCAATACAGTTAAAGGACACAGAGACAAGACTGATAAAAGTATT